AAGTTTTTTTTTTTTTTTGGTATTCTCAAGGGCAATTTTGCTTTTAAAAAAAAAATAAAAAAGGTGAAAGTGATTTACAACCTCTCAATTTCCCTGCCCTTATCACCTCCTCCCTCCCCCCTACTACATTTGTTTCCCCCTCCCCCCCCCGCATCCTCCTCTCAATCAAATGATTATCTCAATATAGAATCTGCGGTCCATTCAAACGTGATCTTATTATTATTATTATTATTATTCAAATTTTTTTTTTTGTAATAACAAACAATAATTTTATCTTTTTTTTGTGTAATTGATAATATTTATTTATTTATTTACTCTATGGAAATCGTAGAAATAATTAGTTTTCACTTTTTTACTTACTTATTTATGTATCGTTTTGGTTACCTTTCTCTCTCTCTCTCTCTCTTTTCTAACAAATAATTTTTTTTTTTTTTTTTTAATTACAACTTTCATTCGGATTAATAATAATAATAATAATAATAATAATAATAAAATTTTATTTATTGATTTTTGTTTGAGATATTCATTATTAAAATAATAAAAATTTTATGTATATATAATTGTTTAGTTAACAAATTTTATTAGGGATTTAATAATAATAAGGAGGGGGGAGGGGAGGAGATTAATGAATTCAAAATAAATTTATTAAATTATTATGATTAATAATAATAATAATAATAAGACTAATGAACCAATTATTTTTATAAATTTAAAATTAACTTTCTTTAATTAAACGGAGATGAAAAACACACAATTTGAAAGCATCGTATAAAAGTGAAAATTAAATAATAATAATAATAATGATAAAGAAAAGTCGATTTGAAATTGAGTAGTAAAACGAGATTTTGTGATTTTCACTAGTCTGGTTAACTCATAGTGACGTCACTGTGTCACTGGAGTCCAGTTCAGGAAATGTAAACTCGTTTTCATTTGAATAACATGGTCTGACGAGAATTTTTGTGACGTCATAGGTTAGCATCACTGTGTATTCCTTAGGGAACAAAGAATTGTGGATCATCATATTATTATCATTATTTTCTTGAGTAGTACATCATAATCATCATCATTATTGCTGTCAATGAGAAATTTATTATTATAAATGGACCACCCGTAATCTCTCGCGAGAGAGAAAGAGAGAGAGAGAGAGAGAAAGAGAGAGAGAGAGAGGTCATTTTAATTAACTCAGGATAAATAAAAACATATTTTTTATTACATTCGCGAGCACAACCATACGAAAACGGATGTGCCACGTAAGGTTTTACAAAATGATAATAATAATAATAATAATAATAATAATAATAAATTTAAAAAGAAAAAAAAACTTTCTAAGCTGACTAGTTTTTTTTTTTTTTTTTTTTTTCTAAAAAAAAAATTTATGAAAAATTATGTAATGATTTGATTTCTTCTTCTTCTACCTTTTTTAAAATTTCTAAATATTATTATTATTTATAAATTATTATTATTATTATTATTTCGATATTAATAAATTTAAAAGATGTTAATAATAATTTATTAAAAGAGATTTCTAAATCTATATATATGTATATAAATAATTTAATTACTGGTGAAATTTTTTAACTAAAAACGATTTATTTATTTATTTAAATAAATTTATAAATGATTTATTTTTCGTTTGCGAACGTTAAAAAAAAAAAAAAAAAATAATAATAATAAATAAATAAATTTTATTTTGTAATAAAAGTAAAAATTATATGGGGTGTGTGTGTGTGTGTGCGTGCGCGTGCTTGTTACGTAATTTACTTATGTCTGTGACTTCTTGTATGGATGTTTAAACGTTTTTTTTTTTTACAAACTTTAAGAAAAAAAAATAAGCGGAAAAAGAAAAAAAAAAAATTAAAGTAAAATTTCTTCCTCGTACCTTACGTACCTTACTTCATTTTATTACTTAATAAACACGTTAAAAATATTTTTGTACGTTATCATTATCATTATCATCATCATCATTTTCTTTTTTTTTATTGATGTTAATAATAGTGCCGCCGCGGCAGCCGCCATAGTAGTAGTCTCGCGTTTTTACTTTTTGAAATTGTTTTATAAAAAAAAAAAAAACATCTTATCACTTGATTACGTTTTGTAATAGTACGCACACGCACACGCACACACGCACTCACTCATCACACGTCTGTCAATTTTTTTTTTTTTTTCAAACAAAAAGTTCTAATTATTTTTTTGTAACAAACAACCGCCATTCACCACTTAAAAAAAATATTACAAAATTATTATTATTATTATTTCTTACGTTATTTAAAAAAAAACTATTTTATTCGTGTCATCGAACTCTCGAAAATAATAATAATAATAATAATAATTATATATTTAATCATTCGTTAATTAATTTAAAAAAAAAAAAAAAAAAAAACCGTTACGAGTTTAAAATGTGTTTTTGGTATGCCTAAGAAAAAAAACAGGAAGTAATGAACGAGATAATATGTACTAATGACATCTCTATGATTTTTTTTCCATCTCTATGTTTTTTTACTCTATGTTTTTCATGAAAAAAAAGGAAAAATTTCGTAAGGATTATTATTATATAAAATCTAAAATTGTTGTTGTTTTATTTATTTATTTTTTTTTAATTCACGCAAACTATAAATTATAGTTATTGCATTATGTATCGTTCCTTTTTTTTTTAATAAAATAAATTAATAGATTTTATTGTAACGAATTTTATTTAATAAATATAAATAATAATAATAATGAGGGAAAAAGTTGTTGTTATAAAAATTCGTTGTGAGTACGACGTGCCTTCGGACACCACGAATTAAATTAATAAATAATAATAATAATAATAATTTTTCCTTTTTTTTTTTTTTTTTTTTTGAAATCATTTATTACGTTAATAAAAAAAAAAAAATTTTGTGAAATTGTTATTATTATTATTATTATTTATTTTTTTGCGATTTCGGATTACTTTATAGAATAATATTATCATTATTATTTTTGTTTTCGCGTGTGAAGTAATATAAAAAACTCGGGTGTCGAAATATTCATTCATTTCCGTTTAATAATATGTTTTATTATTATTATTATTATTATTATTAATAACTTCTTCGAAACAAAAAAAAGGAAATTTAATTATTTTTATTTAAAAATAAAAAAGTAAAAGTTATTTTTTATTTAAAAAAAAACCGGATTTGTGATCAAAATTTTTATTATCCATTCGAGTTTCTTTTAAATATCGAAAACGGATTTTTCTAGAAAAAATCACAGCGAAAAACCTGTTGATGATGATGATGACGAATAATAATAATAATAATAATAATAATAACCATAAAATGATTTCTTTAAATCTCGTAACCAAAAAAAAAAAAAATTTAACGGAAAGTTCATCATCATTTATATGAGAAAATAATAATAATTATCCGGTTAAATTAATTTAATTTAATTTTTTTAAATTTTTTATTTATAATTATTAATCAATTAATTTTAATTAATAAAAATAAAAAATTTAGAAAAAAAATTAATTATTTAATTATTATCCTCTTCGTTTTATTAAAATCGACCCTAATAAATTTAATTTTATCGCAAAATCCGGACTTTTAATTATTATTATTATCATTTACTTTCAATCATTTTTTTTTTTTAAAATTTAATTATTATTTATTGAAAAAAAAAAAAAATTCGAAATCGAATGAATGAATGAATGAAGAAAAAAGTTTAAAAAATGATGGATGCACTTATGGTTGTTTGTATTATAGTAATAGTAAATGTTTGTATTTTTTTTATTTTTTATTTTAAGTCAATAAGTTAAATTAGCATAATTTTGTTTAAAGTACTAAATTGTAATTTAATTGTAGTTAAAGCCCCCCCCACCTCCCATAAAAAAAAAAAAAAAAAAATAGAAAGATTTATTATTTTTACTTACAGATTCAGTTTCCAGGGCCGAGAGCATTTCGTGATTCATCGGATTTGGTACCTCTTCAACAATCTCATATATTAGGAAATTTTCATCATAGATTTCACCCGACGAGGCCAACATTTCACTTCGGTGTTAATTCTCCATCGATTTATAATCAACAATCTCATCAATTCGTACCACCTCAACAACAACAACAACAGCAGCAACAGCAACAGCTCAATCAAAGAAATTTACAACAAAATATACAATTGAATTCTCCCGGATTACGTCAAAACGTTGGTTTAAATCAAAATTCGGATTTGGTCAATCAAAATTTTAAATCGTTGCCCCCTATAACAAAATCAAACGTTCCTTTCGGTTCCTCTAATCAAGATCCATCGATAAAAGACGCATATCCAAGCAATGCTCCCCACACTTTAAAATTTTCAATATCTTCACAAAATTATAATCCAAATCAGGGTAAACAATTTTCAAATTCTGTATCATCTCAACCGAAATTAAATAATCAATTTATCCAAGGAAGAGGTTTAGGAGTATCTCAAGTTCAACCCACTAGGCCAACAACTAATCATTTATCATCGGTAAATGTTCAACAACAACAACAAACGAGTCAGTACAACACTGGTCAAAAAGTTCAACAAACATTTTATCAAAATCCTAATACCTATTCTAAACCTGTACCGACTTTTAATCCTCCCACTTCGAATTCTTTACCTCAACAACCTTTTAACACGATTCAATCATCAAATTTAAGAACAACTCAACAATCGAATGAATTATTATCGACAAACACATTTTCAAACAAACAAGTTTTAACGAATAATGTTAATTTTAATTTGAATTCTCAACCTCATCATATTTCTCCTCTTCTCAATTCACAAATCAGAACAAATTCGGAATTTAAAACAAATACCAATTTAATACAACAACAGCAAAAAACTAATGTGGAACCACCAGTTTTACCAACAAATTTTAGATTTCCAACTGATCCAACTCAGCAAACTTTTCAAAGAACCAATTTGTTAGGAAACCAACAATTGTATCAAAATAATAATAATAATAATAATAACAATCAACAATTAGGACAATTTAATTACCCGTCGGTGCCATCAAATTTTGAACAACAAGTAACGGAACAACCTCGACTTTTATCATCTCAACAACAAATATTAAAATCTCAACCGCCATCGGTTGTTCCTCCTTTCAGTTCGACTTTACCCGATTTAACAGGTAGAAAATTGGCTTTTGAAAAAGCACAAAATCATTTACATCTTGCCCTTAACGAAAAATACTTGAGCACACCACTTACAAATATCATTCCGACATCTTCTCCGAGTAAAGAAACTTTCACGACAGCACCAGCTTATACGAAACCTAAACCCGTCGTGAAAGAAATAACGATTAATTTAAACGATCATAAAATATCCGGAGATGGTTTACCACCGCAATTGTATATAAAAGACACACGTCAAAAAGAATATCAAGAAATAAAGAGTTCGAAAGAAGGAGGTAAAGAACAGAATAAAAAAGAAAAAACACAAGAAGAACTTATAAACGAACAAATTCATAAACTTTTACAAAGTCATAATTTGGAAATAGTTGGAAAAGATAACGAAGCTCAAACAAATTCACAAGAAGCTCAATTATCAAAAGTGTCTGAACAATTTCAAAAATACAATTATAGCGTTCAACTTTTAAACAGCGGCGGATTGTTAAGCGAAAGCAAAGTTAAACCAACAGTTGCTCCAGAATTACCACCTCTTCCCGATTTACCGGAACATATTAAAAAACAATACGACATAAAATTGGTTCATAAAGATGATTTACTCAAACAGTTTGATTTATCAGGAGATCATAATTTAGGAAATGATTCTTCTAAATTGTTTATAGCAAATGGACAAAAATTAGAAATTGTACAATTTTCCAAAGATGGAATAATGGATAAAATTCCAATTGGTACTAAGAATGCGGTTAGAGAACCAACGACTACGGCTAAACCTCCAAAACTTTTATTCGAAGAATTGACCAAAGAAGTCATACCTCCTGGAGCTAATTTTGAATTAATCAAACATAAGGGAGATGGTCAAGTGGAAAAAGTTAATGATTTCACGGGTGGGAAAAAAGTTACATTTGTTTTCTTAGAGGAACAAGAAGATGGTTCGGTTAAAATTCAAGGAGTTAAAGGAAATGGTAATCAAGATGCTGATGGTAATGAAGTTGATTCGTTAATTAAAAAAATTAAAAATGGTTCTCTAAAACTTCCGCCATCTTTAAAATCAAAAGAAATAAGTGATGTTTATGGTTCGTCAACGGAAAAACTTTTGGCATCTCCGACGGCAACCGTTAATTCCAGGTCTATTCAAAACCTTCCATCCTTGTCTCCCAATTACGTCGAAAAAGAATATTTATCTAATCAAAGACCCACAACTGAATTTACTTTCAACGGTCCATCACTTTATTCTGCAGATGTGACTTCGAAATTTACACCATCCTATTACGAAACCACTCCTCAACCTCCTACTACCTTTTCACCCAACTTAAATTACGTCAGATCAACAACCGTTAAAACTCAAGAAAAATTTAGAACGCGTTTTACTCCAACCGTACCTAGTTTAGACACTTTCACTCCAACATTTGGATCCCGAAGAATAAAACCAACAATTTCTTCGAGAATACAAAGTCCAGAAACGGCAAGACTATCGCAAACAGGATCTCTTTTAGACTCTCAATCAGAATTTTCCGACTATAGTAATTCAGAAATATTAAGTCACAGATCTACGGAATACAGAGGACAAAAACTTAGAATACCTCAGGATGTGGTAGCCGAAGAATCAAATATAAATGCCGTTCGACCACTTAATGAAGTACTTAAAGTAAATGGTTTGAACGAAATGGCCAAATTTCTCGAACAATCTGGTTTGGATACGATTCTTAACGAAACAGGTACAATATACATAAATAACGAGTAACGGTTATTAAAAACTTACCACTTTTATTTTTTTTTTTTAAATAAATTGTAAACAAATATTTTTTTTAGGTCCTTACACAATATTCGTACCAACGGATAAAGCATTTAAAAAATTAGAAACACAATTAGGAGGCCCAGATAAAGCAGAAGAAAAATTTCGTGAAAATCCTAGACTTTTAAGCGGTTTGCTTTTACATCACGTTGTTCCCGGATCGTTTAGGGTTGAAGATCTTCAAGATGAAATGACCGGCGTTAGTTTAGCCGGAACTCAACTTCGTGTAAACACATATTTTACCGATAAAAAACAATCCAAGGAAAATAATATAGTTACCGTTAATGGAGCAAAAATAATGAGCGAAAGTCAAAATATAGTTGTGCCACAAGGATTGGCTCATACAATCGATAAAGTTTTATTTCCACTTCCCATCGGTGACATTTTTCAAACATTAAAAAGTGATAGAGAAAAAAGATTTACAAAATTTATAAAGGCATTAGAACATTCTGGACTTTCTGATTTACTAACAGGTCAATTTCTTTTCCTTTTAAAACTTTTGATTCTAATATTTCTATTATACTTAATAATATAAATTTTTGTTCCCAGGTGTGAAAACTTATACCGTTTTCGCTCCTACCGATAAAGCATTTTCAGTTTTAACGGATTCAGAATTGGACAAATTATTAACCAATCAGGAAGCTGCAAAAACAATAGCTCTTAGACATATAGTACCAGGTACTTTGTACACAGCCGGAATGAATTATTATCAAGTAATGGATTCTATGGAACCTGGACAAAAAGTAGTCATTAAGAAAGAAATAGGTATGTAACATACTATTATTATTATTAACACAAATGAAAATAAATTTTGATTAATTAAAAAAATTTTTGTTTTTGTCAAGGTAAAATAAAAGCAAATTCGGCTCAGATCACAACAGGAAATATTCCAGCAACAAATGGAGTCATTCACGCTGTGGAAACACTTCTATAGCCATTTTATTTTAGTTAATTTTTTTTTTTTTTTTTTTTTTGATAATTTCTTCTCCTTTATCATTGTAGGTATTTAAATAAAAAAAATTAAAATTCCTTTTTAATAGACTAACCATTTATAATTTTTTTTTTTTTTTACTTAAGGTGTGCAGCTGATAATACTCGATCCATATCAATTTAATAACAACTGGTTGATTACAAGAAAAAAAAAAAAAAAAATTTATTGTTTAGTGTGCCACAAACAAAAAAAATATTTTATATTTGAATCAAATTTTTAAAAATATCAAGGATGGGTTTTTAAAAAAAAGTATTAAATATGTTAGGAGTATAATAAATATTTAAATTTCAGAAATAAAATATTTTTGAAAAAAAAAAAAAAAAAAAAAAGAGGCCAATTGTATATATAATCATCGATTGTTTTTAATTTTTTTTTTTTCGCTATATATATAAATAGCACATTTTTAAAAACTTATCAGGCCTAATTTAGATAAATTAATAATAAACATTATTTAAGTTAAAATATTTTTTAATAAATAATTTTGAATGCATTAAAATTGTATTTTTTTTTTTATCGTAATAATCATCAAATTTTTATAAATTCAATTAAAAATAAGTACTCACCCCATACTGTTTTTATTTTGTATGTAAATTAATAATAATCTTCTGCTTTTTATTTTGTTTACTTTCGAGAGAGAAAAAAAAAAAAGATGCCAATTTTTAATGACTATGTATTTAATTACATAATAAGTATCTTGATAGAATTTGATTTTGAAGTATACATATATAACTTTTTCATAGAAATCAAATTACAAAATTATATAGTCTCAAATTTTTGGTGACATAATTAATATTTTATATATATATATGGGAAAATTTTATTTTTTTTTGCATCAATATAATTTTAAGTGACCAGTTACTGAATCAATAGTACGTACAGGACCTGGGCCTACAGCTAAAACAGTTCTCGTACCTGAAGCTACTTGAGTTCTTCCAGCATCTCTAACAACAGAAACAATCAGTCGATTATCACGAGCTGTTTCTGCTAAATCCATCATTTCTTTTTCACTTTCAATCTAATAAAATATTTAAAATAATGTTAATAAAATTGAATTAAATGTTTCTTAAAACAATTATTGTGTGTTGCAATATTTTAAAACTATTGTAAATTTTATAATTATTTTTTTTGCAACTAGCATATGGGAATAAGTTTTAATTGAAACAAACTACCTTAACAACAATTTTGGGCTGACCCGAATTTCTCCAATTGTTGAATATTTTTGGCGCCTTTTCCCGAGAAGATTCATAAGCCATTACGGCTGCGTGACTGCACTGAGCAGCCACTTTTCCTTTACCCATTTTTAAATCATTTCTAACAACTAACACTAATTTATTTTCACCTAAATTATTGTCATATATTATACTATCACTTATATCAGACCTTTTTTCCCCTAAGGACATCATTGTTTTTTCTTTTATTGATTTAAAATGGGTAAACTTATTCCAGAAATTTAATAAAAAACTACCACAAACTAACCCTCCCGCAAACACTAAAGCATTATTTACTAAATATTCTGTCATTATTGTTTAGATAAAAGTGTAAAATATTTATATTAATTTTAAGATAATTAATTTTTAACGTGCGGAACGACCATTTATAAATTTGAAAAAGGCGGTGGAATTTATGTTTACACAATGTCAAGTTAACGAGCACTTGTTGTAAGGTTATAAGGCAATGTTTATTTTTTATTTTTTTAAACTAATAATAAATGAGTTTACTTTGAAAAAAAAAAGAAAAATGTTTGTACTATCGCTTATAGAGATAAATTTAATTTGTTTTCTTTAAGTTTTACGTAGTTGCAAAATAAGAATAAAATAAAGTTTAAAATTTGGTTTTATAAAAATTTTTCTTTATATTTAATAATAAAGAAAATTTATAATATTAAAGGATAGCGGCGCAATGTTTATGTTTTAGGGGGGAAAAGTAATAAATTAATTGCAAATTTACATTTATATTTTTCAAAATTTATATAACTTTAATTATTATCGTCAATGACATTATTATTTTAATAAGATAAGGTTAAAAAACAATTTTTAAAAATTTTAGAAAAAAATATTCAAATTACAGGTTTTTTATTTACTTTAAGTAATTATAAATTATCTATTTACATAACTTTTTAATAAAAGTGAATAATTTATTTTAGATTATTTAAAATATTACTGAAACAAATCTGAGCATATTAAACAAATCAATGTTTTATTTATCGTTTGTGATTGTTTCAAAGGTGTAAAAAAAAAAAAAAAAGTAGTTTGAAATATCTTTATCAAATTTTTAATTCATTTTAATTTTATATTTTATTTAGAAATAATTTTTTAAAAAAATTTTATGTATATATATATATATATTTTATATTAGTAAATGATTATTTCAAATTGACTTTTTCAACATTTTCACCATATTTGCAAGTAAATGTTTTCCTTCTGCCAAAACAGTTTAGAAGGCATTCAATCAGGCTTAATGCCCAAACTTTTCTGAAAATTGAAAAAATAATAATTACTTGTAAGAAAAAAGGGATAAAAAACAAACTTTATTATTGTGAAGTTTTTTGTAAAACGAATGAAAATTTTTTTGAATATTTACATAACATTAAACGATTCCAGTTGGAGAAAATATATATTTCGCAATAAATTTTTGAAAATGACGAATAAATTTTTAAAAAGTGTACATCATTTAAATTAAAAAAAAAAATATTGTCAACTTACAAGTTATACAAACATCTATTATTTGGTAAATTGTTTATGTAGCAACCTGTAAATATTAAAATATTTTCAGATGCCAAATAAAAGAAATAAACGACAGAAGTAATTGATAGTGTTAATAAACCAAATTGCGAATTAATAACTTCTCCTAATTGATTTAATCCGCTCCAGTTGCCTCCAAACAATGTTTTGTTCATGAATACTAACTATAGAAAATATTAAAAAAATAAATAAATCATAATAAATTTCAAAAACCAAACAAAATGAATCAATAATCATTGACAAATAAATAAACATACTGAGTTTGATGTAATAGTATTAAATTCTGCAACAAAATCAACTAAAGGGATCCACATTAATATACTGACTAAAATAATGACTATTAGGGATGAAATGGCCTTAAAAATGAAAATTTTTTATTAAAAATAAATTTTAAAAGGATGTAAAAAAAAAAAATTGAGAAAATTTTGAATAAGCTCACATAAAATGTATATAGTGCAGGAGGGGGTTGATTAAAGGTGCAGGGATAACAGGACACGTGATATAAATTATTACGAAATTTTTTTCTTTTGTTTTGTTCGAATATCAAATTTGGATAAAGCCATAATATATTTTTTTCATTTTGCATTGATGTAATTTTGAATAAAAAATACGTATTAACAACACACTTGATAATTTAGATTTACATATATACATTCGAAAGTGGAATTTTTACCGTTTCATAATATTGTATATAATTATTGTTTTAATAAAAGGCGGTGACTGGTCATTTGAAAATTTTAATGGCGGAATTACAGTTAATGATTCAGGTTAAGTAAAATTCTTTTTTTTTTTTAATTTCAGGTAAAATTTTTTAAAATATTACACTTTTTGATATCGATCTATGATTTTGATTTCTTTTGCGACTGCTTCGAGATCAAATCAAGGTGATTTCACTCGAATTTAATTTTCTTGTTACCAAGGTAACATCACATTCATCTCCCCAGATTTTTATATTTTTTATATTTCATTCATCTTGTTTTCTATATATTTGTGTAGTTTATTTTTAATTAATTACCTCTTGTTCAGAAATATAAATTTTATCAAAAAAAAAAAAAAAAAAAGAAAGAAAAAGAATCATGAATCCTATTGAATCATATAAGAAATTTAATAATTTTCCTTTATGCAGGTGTGAAAAATCAAAAATGGAAGGCGGGGGGGGGGAAGGAAAAAGAAAAGAAAAAAGAAAAGATAAATGATTTTCTTTTTCTGAAGGGAAAAAAAAAAAAAAAAAAAATTGTTACAAAACAAACCAAGTTGAAATGATACAGTATATATATAAAATGTGAAAACGAGTCTCATTCGTCGTTGAGTTAACGATCAGTCAACATCAAGTTTTATTTAAGTGAGTTTTTTTATTTTTTATTTTCTATTTATTATTATTATTATTATATAAATTAATTTTTTCTCCAGTATTTTATTAATTAATAAGTAAGTTATTTATTTATGTATTTATATCGTCGGAAATAATTTTTTAACGTTAAAAAACTTTTTAAACAAAAATTTACCGCCATTTATATATAAATTAAAAATAGAAAATTTTTATTTTTATTCAATGTTTAGCTTTCGTAAGTTTTTTTTTTCCCCCCACAATTTAAATGTCATCAACTATTAAAAAGTTATTAATTTAATTGTTAATAAATTAATTGATTTTAATAATATAATAAATTATTAATTATTTGTGTAGAATAAGAATAATTTTTGGATAATAACGTCACTCACAAACAAACAAACGCCAAATTTTATTTATAAATTAAATTTTGTCAATTTTAAAAGTAAAATTTTAAAATTTTTAAACCTGGAGAAATAATAATAATAATAATAATAATAATAATAATAATTGCCCTTGATTTGTTTTTCTATGTAGGTTAAAATTTATTAGTAAAAGTAATAAAAAAAAAAAAAAAAAATCGATATAATAAATGACTTGACCATGTTCGTGAATATTTTTTGACAACAATTAAAGGTTTTCTGTCAACTCGCCAGTCAGCCAGGCCTTACATAAGAAATCATTATTATTATTATTATTATTATTATTATTATTATTATTATTATTATTATTATTATTATTATTATTATTATTATTTTTCAAGGTTTTTTTTTACTTTTCCTTTTTTTTATTTATTTAGTTAAAAGGGAAATTTTCTTTTACACATATTAACAGGAAATGATTTTTTCTACATTTCCGGGAGGAAAAATAAAAGGAAAAGGAAAAAGTTTTTTTTTTTTTTTTTTTTTTTTATAGTATCGTTTTAAATTACGTAATAATAATAATAATAATAATAATAATAATAAAGAATGGCGTAAAAGGGGGCTTAAACATAAAGTGACAGTTTATTATTATTATTACAAAATAATAATGCGTTAAACCTTATGCAAGGCCGAAAGGAAATTTGGTCACGGTCATTACGCGAATGTCGAAAATTATTATTATTATTATTATTATTATTTCGATAAATATAATATTTTTTTTTTTTTATGTATACATAAATGTTTAATAATAATAATAATAAGTTATTCTACGATTATTAATGCTATCAAATACTTTTTTTTTTTAATTGTTATTTAAATGATGACCGTTACTTGCATACAGAGAATTAATTATTATTAATAAATAAATTGTGGGGGTGTTATTATTATTATTATTATTATTATTATTACCTTTTCCGGATGTTTCGGTTAACAAAAAGTATGAGTTAATTAAAAGAGAGAGAAATCGAGATAATGTAAAAAAAATATTTCGTAGTAATTGTTAAGCAAGAGAAACCTGAAGATTTCTAAATAAAATAAATTTTTTTTTTTCTCTTGTCTAACGACTCGATGAGAAAAAATAATTTACACGTGATTTTGCGCAGTCAAGTTTCCGCCTTTTTTTTTTTTTTTTTTTTTTTTTATTAACTGATATTTTATATAACAAGTGGAAAAGAATAGTAATAATAATAATAATAATAGTAATAATAATAGTAATAATAATAATGGTTTACCAAAGGTGAGATTTTAACGCGATGGGTTTTTACTATTATTATTATTATTATTATAGATTTTTTTTTTTTTTTAAAAATTTAAATGGAAGTTTTATTGTTTATATTAATATTAAATATAAAATAATTTTATTTTAATTATTTGCACAGGTAAATAAATAATAATAATAATGGAAGTTAAAGAATTTAAAGAATTTGCTAAAGAAATGATTGATTATGTCGGGGATTACCTTGAAAACATTCGAGACAGGTGAGAAATATAATTTTTTTTTTTTTTCTGTTTTTTTTCTTAAATTTTTTTTTTTTTTTTTTTTTTTTTTTTTAGGCAAGTTTTACCAACTGTGGAACCGGGTTACATAAAACCATTGATACCAACAGAACCGCCGTTGAAACCGGAATCATGGCAAGATGTCATGCAGGATATAGAAAGAGTCATAATGCCGGGTGTCACTCATTGGCATTCTCCAAAATTTCACGCGTATTTTCCAACGGCTAATTCTTATCCAGCAATCGTTGCTGATATTTTAAGCGCTGGAATATCCTGCATAGGATTCACATGGGTAATTATTATTATCATCGACTGAATTTTGTGATACCTCTTGTTGATTGATTTGTTTTCTAATTTTTTTTTTTTTTTTTTTTTGGTATTTTCAGATGTCCAGTCCTGCGTGCACCGAATTAGAAGTTGTCATGTTGGACTGGTTGGGTAAAATGTTGGGTTTACCAAAAGAATTCTTATCGAGTACTCCGGGAGGTCAAGGTGGTGGAGTCATTCAGGGTACGGCGAGCGAAGCCACCCTCGTCGGTCTTTTAGCTGCCAAAGCTAAAACAATACACACGTTGAAAAATAAAAATCCTGGATGGACGGAAGGTACGATCGTTCCTAAACTCGTCGGATATGCTTCCGGTAAGTAAATTTTTTTTATCACTACTTTTTCTACTTTCCGCGAGCATGATTTTCCGTACCTGAAATTAAAAATTTTGTTCAGAACAAGCTCACAGTTCGGTGGAAAGAGCTTTTTTAATCGGAGGAGTAAAATGTCATCAATTGCCTACGGATGATAAATTTCGCGTGACCGGAGACACGCTCAAAAAAGCCATAAGAGAAGATTTAGAAAAAGGTTTAATACCATTTTACGTGGTTGCCACGTTAGGTACGACATCCGTGTGTTCGTTTGACCTTTTGAAAGAAATCGGACCCGTTTGCAAAGACGAAAATGTTTGGCTTCACGTCGATGCCGCTTACGCAGGTTCATCTTTTATTTGTCCAGAATTCAGGCATTATAACGAAGGAGTAGAATATGCGGAATCATTTAATTTCAATCCGCATAAATGGATGTTGGTTAATTTTGATTGTTCGGCCATGTGGCAAGTTTTACACTATCATTATCATTATCACTATCATCATCCACAAACCTTTTCCGATCGATTAACGTCCATTTTTTTTGTGTATTTTATTCAGGTTAAAAAATCCAGATAATATCGTGAATGCATTTAAATTGGATCCTGTTTATCTTCAACACAGTCAACAAAATGTCGCTCCCGATTATCGCGTGCGTATTAAATAAAAAAAAAAAATTTTTTTTTTTAAATTTAAAGAAAACAAATAAATAAATTTGAGTTTACAGCATTGGCAAATTCCATTGGGGAGACGTTTTCGTTCATTAAAACTTTGGTTCGTTCTAAGACTTTACGGTGTTGAAAATTTACAAAAACACATCAGGAAACAAATTTCTTTGGCACACGAATTTGAAAATTACGTTAAAAATGATTCGAGATTTGAAATAATTGGCGAAGTCACGATGGGATTGGTTTGTTTCAGATTAAAAGTAAATAATTTTTAATTTTTTTAAATTTAGTTTATTTCGATTTGTTAAACATTTTTTAACGAGTGCAAATTTTAAAAAAAATTACAGGGACCGAACGAAATAAATGAAAAACTTCACGAGAAAATAAATTCAAATGGTAAAATACATTTGGTACCATCTAAAATAAAAGGAAATTATTTTCTAAGATTGGCCATTTGTTCGAGATTTACTCAATCGTCGGATATTTTATTGTCGTGGGAAGAAATTAAAAATTTAGCAACGGAAATATTAAAAGAAAATTAAAAAAAAATAAAAAAATAAAATAATTTTATTATTAATTTATTTTAAATTATTGTGAGGCTTTTAATATCGAAATTATTGCATATATATATAAATAAATAATAATTAATAATGATAATTAAATGGTTTTAATCACATTTAAAAGCTCAAAAGGAAAACAAAATGGTGGACCAAATACAATTAAAAATTTAAAATTTATTTAATAGACAATAAATAATAATAATAATAATTCGTGACAATATATTGTTTTTTTTCGTAACGAATGATTGATTGTTAAATAACTTACATAATAATAATAATAATATTGACGAAATTTTTTGTAAAAAAAAAAAAAATAGATGAGGCCAAGGTAAAAAGTGAACGGTTAAAAAAATTAAATTGATAAAAATTTTATTTTTAATGTTAACCATTCGTTACGATTCGAAGTTTTTTTATTATTATTATTATTCACTCGTTAACCTTCAAATAATAAAATTTTAATTTCTTATTTACTTCCTGTTAAAAATATTAAATTCGTTAATTAAATTTGTTAATAAGAGACAAAATTATCAATAACAAAAAAAAAAAAAGAAGGAAAAATTTTTTTAAAAACTTTTACAATTTATTATTAAATTTAGTTAGAGTTGTCTAAAAAAAAAAAAAAAAATCTCATGGTGCTAATTATATATATTATTATTATTATTATTGATGTATTTACATAAAATAAATAATAAAAATGAAAATGGTGCTAAATAAATAAATAAATAAAAAAATGGTGCTTAATAACCAAAAATTTATATAAATAAATAAATTATTTTTTATTTCATTTATTATTATTATTATTATTATTAATGTGAATTTAATAATTGTTGTGATTATATATATTTAAATATTTATTTATATTATAATATCATATATAATATTACGCATAATAATAATAACAAAAAAAAAAAGTTAATTTATATTTCCTTAAAATTTTTCTTTTCCACAAATTGTTATAATTATTATTATTATTATTATTATTATCATTATCATTATTATTTTTGAAAATTTTGACTCGATACACAATACAAAAAATTCTTGTCATAAATATATATTTAACTTGAAGTTAATTAAATTTAAATAAATGGTTTTGTTGGTTTTTTTCTTTGTTTCGTTCGAGGTTTGTCAGATAAAACACATAAACATTCTTAGGACATACTCTCTGGAGGAAGGGGTGGTCCACCAAATCTTTTGGTTAGTTGTATTATTCTTTCAGCTTCACGAATTCCACTCAATCGAGCACCGTGAACGGTTGAATAATGACCAGGTACAGTTGCTTCACCGGCGAATAATAAAATAGGTGCAATGGGTTCGCAGGATCCAGGTACGGGTGATCCTAAATCACATTGTTGACCGACGTTTGATTCTAATCCCATGTAACTGTACGAACCGCAAAAGTTACAATCTGCCGTCCATTTTGATCTTAACACGTTGGCGGGATATGGTAGACAAGGATCGCCAGTGAATTGTCTCAAAACTCGAGTTATGGCTTCGGCGACTTCTTCTTCCGAACATAATTCCATAGTCGAGGCTTCTCTTCCTGCAACCCAAGCGCATAATACGTGTTGACTTCCGGCAAGTTCTTCGACGTAACAAAGGCCTTTCACCCAATCGTCTCTTGATGCCAGTTCGTCGGCTGACCATGCCAATTTGATACCCCCTTCTCTCCACACCCAAAACGGTCTCGTATATTCTAAAAATATTTTATTAACTACGCCAAATCCAAGTTTTCTGATGGCTTCAACTTTTTCGCAAGGCAAAGCTGGACAAAATAATTTATCGTGTTTAGCTTTTAAAACTCCCAAAGAAACGGTTACTATGACGTAATCTGCTTGAAATTCTTCACCGTCGCAACATTTAACGACGGCACGAGGACCGCAACTGGAGCCGATCGTACCCCAAAGTATACTTTGAACCGGTTTGCAATAACGGACGCTGCATTCTGGAAGATCACGTAAAAGGGGAGCCAAAACTCCTACGTATCCCAAAGGAACTCTCACATCTCCTCCGGGGATTTCAATGTAACTACCAAATTGATCCGCGCTTATCAGAGACAAATCGTCGCCGCATTTTGTTCTCAATATGTTTGTTAAACCGTACATGACTCTTGCCGCATCGTAACGTTGTTCTTCTGGAAAGTTGTGCAACTCTTGCTGTATTCTGATACCCAAAAAATTTAATAAATTTCCATGAGATCGACCGCAACCCATGCTGAACAGCGCTGCCGCTTGTTGTTCGATCTTTTTAAATGTGTGTAAAGCTGTCACGCTGACTGGGAAATCAATTGCTCGTCCATCGCTGGTGCAAAAAAGTCCTCTTTCGTCGGGTCGAGGAAGAGGATTTGATAAAAGACCCTCCTGTGCGGCCAATGTAAAAATTGGATTTGCAATGCAACCACCGTTAATATATTGAGCTCCCATTTCTGCAACGACATCTCCCATCCAACAGGAATGAATCCTACCACCCGGTCTAAAATAAAAAATAATGAAAAAATTTCCTCAAACGAAATAAAAATGAGGGGAGAGGGCGTTAAGAATTTAAGGTGAAATTAAAAAGGAAAAAGTGAAATAGTAATGTCAACCAAAGTGAAACAAGGACAAAAATTTTTGAGGTCTACAAATGACCCCAAGGTGGTCGATATATGTACACGTCATCAGAAAAAAAAAAAAAGTTATTTATTTATTATACCTGTCGGTTGCCTCGAGGACGGTAAAATTTCTTATACCGCAATGAACTAATCTTTGAGCAGCAGAAAGACCAGCAATTCCTCCACCAACAATAACAACCGTCGGCTCTGGTTTACATGGATTAACCATACATTTATCAAGTTTACAAACATCAACAAATTTAGCGTTTGTTGCAGGACATTTGGGACATTCTTTTGCGCTAAAACAACAACTTGAGCACACATGCCTGAAACATTAAAATTTTATTAATTTTCTTTAAGATTTGCGACTGGAGGAAGAGAAGGAGGAGGAAAAGATAATAATAATATTAAAACGCTTTTATTTCAAATTTTTTTTCTTTTTTTTTTTTTGTTCATAACAAAAACATAAACAAAAATTATTTGATAATATTAGTAAAAAATGTTACCTCGCTGCTTTTTTTAAAAGAAAACAAGAAGGTTTCCTATTAAACCTCACCAACATAACGAATAATTTTGACACGATTAATTACTATAGGAAAAAAAAAAAAAAAAAAAAAAATTTTTTTTAACGTGATAAAAAATTTTACTCCATTAAATTTTATATAATTTTAACCAAATAATAATAATAATAATAAGTTTATTGTTTTTTTTTTTTTTTCCCCTTTTGAAATTATTATTATGACGTTCATTTGTTTTTATTTACACGAAAAAAGTCTGCGATTCCTTTCAAAGTTTTTTTTTTTTTTTCCTACACATTTTCATCGATTTTCTTTCATCTATATATAATAATCATTATTATTATTATTATTTTGATAAAGTTTGAACAGATAAAAAATTGTATTGAAATTAAAATAATAATAATAAATAAATTTTGTAATGTTTTTCCCTTTTCTTATTAATTACATACGCGGACGCCATTTTGTCAAATTTTTAAAATAAAAAAACCGTTAAAAAATTTAATAATTTTTTTTTGATTCGTCGACGTCGCGTTGAAATTTTAAACGATTGAGATTGAATTGTACGGTCATGATATAATGATGATAATAATAATAATAATAATAAGAAAAGAAAATCATGTTCGAATGTAAATTAAAAATAATATTTCAGGTTTTTTTTTTTTTCCCAACAATTGAAACGATCGATATTGTCCTGTTTTATGTAATTCATTGAAATTTTTAACAAGGGGGGGAAGGGGGAAACACAAAACAGGTTTTTTGTTTTTTTTTTAACGGGAAAAAAGACAATTTTTAAATGTCAAAGGTTATTAATATTAATAAATAAATAAATAAACAAAATTAACATTAATAACTTTTATTAAAAATATATATATTTATATAAAATACATACGTGTATATATATATTAAAAAAAATAAATATATAAAAAAGTTTTTGTAATTTGTATAATAAATAGATTGTTTGATTCATAGATTACATCGTGTCGGAAGAATAATAGTTGTCGTCATAGAGTAAATAAATTTCATAAACAAAAACACGGATGTCGATAAATTTTCATTGTTTACGATTCGGGTAAAAATGAAAAGAGTGTAGGAGGAGGGGGAGGGGGAAGAGGGGGGAGGGAAGGGGAGAAGGAGGGGAGGGTAGGGGGCGCGCGCGCGCGAAAACGAAGGTTTTTAAAAAAAATATTTTCGCGTAAGCGTGAGTTCTTTTTCTTTTAATTAAACGTTTAAATCCGGATTTAATTAATTAATTATTGAGGGAATCAGGTGTTAATATTAATATTTTATATTTTCGCGTTTCTCTTTTACTTTCGGCCGTCATCGTAAGGCATATTTTTAATTTTTTAGGCGCTTTTTCCGACACGTGTATGGGTATTTTCACCGTGGTGTTTTGTCTTATATCTGTGTGAAAAAAATAATAATAATAATAATTATATTAAATGTTTTTAAAATTAAAAATTTGGATTTTACCTGGAATTTCAATTTTTCCCGGTACGATTAATAATTTATCGTAAGGTGGATCGATTGTTATTGTATATGTAACACGTGTTTGAAGCACGTGTACAAATTCATCAGTAACGCTATCTTCTTCGTCAGCACTTATAAACCATAGTATCAAACACAAACCGATATTCGTTTCTGAAAAAAAATTCCCAATATTTTTTTTTTTTATTTTCCGGGCGGGAAAAAATTTAAATAAAAAAAAAGGGAATAACACAAACCGAAATGTTTATTCCAGAAAACTTTTTCCTGATCGTGTAAAGTTTTTAAAAACATACTTTTTAACGAATCCCATAATGAATGATTTCTAACCGGAATGTTTATCGTCGTCATTAACGGACAATTTATATTTGCTGGAACGTTTAATGTTAAATTTTTCCCTTTTTCCGGACAAGTGCATTCGACTTGAGGCGACCATAATTCCGAATAAAATCCATTTAATACCGGTATTGGAACTTTAGTGTTCACGTTAATTGATATCTTTTTAATAAAAAAAAAAAAAAACAAATTCGTTTATGTTTCTCTCTTTCGAATATCAAAAAAAAAAAAAGAAAATTAAATTTACCAATACTAGAAAATCTCCAACTTCTGAACTTCTAAAAAGTAACCAAAAATTTCTTGATTCTTCTGTTATACACGTGACCGTGACGGGTAATGTCGTTGATTTTTCTCTAAATTTTATTTTTATTTCGCTTTTGTTTAAAAATAAACGTCTTGATATTTTACGATTTCTTATTTTCGACCAGGGTTTTATAGTAACTGATATATCCGTATTACCTGGATACGATATTAATAATAATAATAATAATAATAATGGATAAAATCATTCGAAGGAAAAAAACGGGGAGGAAAAAAAAACCTTTGTAAACGGGTTTGTTTGTCGTGTACCAAATATCGTAAACGGCAGGTTCGCGATATGGTGACGTTATAGGTATATCCGTACATAAAACTTTATAAAGAGGAGTCGTGAATGATAATTTTGTACTTTCCAAAAGGTCCGAAGGTTCTCCCTCGAGTGAAAAAGCAACATGTTGTGCAAAATTTGGACTAATGACGTTACCGCAAAGAATCAAAGTTGCTAAAATTTATATTAAAAAAAAAGAAATTTTTTTTTTTTTCCTTTGTTTAATAATACACGTTTCGTACCGGAAATAACTACAAACCGGAAGCTTTTTTTATCTTTCTCGCCGTGTATATAATTTCAACGTTGACAGAAGTTCTAGGTTCTATTTCGATAATGATGGCATTTGTATTTTTCAAATGAAAAAAACCCTGATATTGTCCGAAAAATTTTAAACGATAAAAAACTTTTTCAGCATTTTCATTTTTTATTTGTATCGATCTCGATGAACCTGTAATTAATAATAATAATAATAATAAACGTTTGTTAAGAGTGTAAAGGGGGGGGGGGAATAGTAAATAAATAAATAATTACTTAGAGAAAGAGATGCGTAAAAATTAATTTTTAAACTCGGATAAAGAGTCGGTAATATTTGATATAATTGCATAATTAAAAATATCATAAAAACCGGATTTGGATAAACAATATCGGAAGCTTCAACGGAAAGACCCAAATTAATATCTCGCCATGCAAGAGTTAATTTCGTCGCATTGTGATAAAGCTAAAACGGGGAAAATTGTCGTTAAAAAAAAAAAAAAACAATAGACGTGGTAGGAAGGAGGAGGAAAAGGGATACGTCGTGGCATTTTAATACCTTGTTCGTCGTATCCGGTTTTAAAAAAATATCACTGAAATATTCAGCGGTTATGTATGGACAATGTGAACAAGTTAAAAAAATAAGAGCGAGTGAATCCGATAAATCTTTATCGAAATTTGTTACGGATTTATAAGTAATCGGAGAATTTTCCCTCATGTAATATTTTTGACTTTCCTTTTTAAAATGTTGATTTATCCAAAAGAGTAATGATTTTTCCTAAAAACAAATTTTTACATTATCGATATATGATTTAAAAAAAAAAAAAAAAAATTTTTAAGGAACAGGAACACGTCGTACCTGAGAACAGAAAACGTTACTGTTTAACGAATTCGTTAAAGAATTTGCCATTTGAGTATCCACTGGCGAATGTAAAATAACACATTTTATTAATATTTGTTCTTTGGGTCCAGCAATCTAAAATTAATATTAATAATAATAATAATAATAATCGATTTATTTCCATAATAATGGTTTTTTTTTGTGTGTTTATTTACTTCAGTTTCTGGAATCGATGCCGGCCAACGAAGTTTTCTCAATACAAAATTCCTATAAATTTGTATGATGACGTCAAGCCAAGCCTGTTTCGATCTTGCTTCCATGGCCGTTTTATCCAAAACGTCAAATTCGTGTACGATGCTTTGATTTTCAACCGTTATATAATGCGAATCTGGATCATCTAATTTGTCATCTCTACTATCAAATACGTGTTCGGATTCTAATTTTCCATTGTCTCCCAATGATTTTCTCCAGGATTGACCGCGGGAAAACAACGATGATATGCTCATGCTTTCATTTTTTTCAACGTTGTCTCTATGATTCACCATCGATATCCTTTTGTTTATTTTTTTTTTTTCACTGTTCTGACGCAAAACAGGAGAGAGAATGAATATAGGGAGGGGAAACGGGGGAGACAGGGGGCGAGGGGGGGGAGGTGGGCATATTTGTTTCCCTTACCAAAATAACAGTTTCCGAATTACTATGATGCGATAAATAATTTGTATAATCATCGTAATTTAATAAATATTCCGGTCTCACGTGTGGTAAAAAACATCCTTCCTTATTCAAATACTGGAGAATTGCGGAAAAATAATTATAATTGCTAACATCTTTCATATCTGCCAATGACCTTAAAAAAAAAAATGATCATCATTAGTACTACTACTACTACTACCTTTTCCCCCTCCCCTCCCCTCCCTACCCCCGAATCAGAATTTTTTTTTTTTTTTTTACCTCATGGGTTCGTATTCGTATATTTGGGTCCCTAGTAAAACTTCTAAAAAATCAAAAAAATTAGTATCGTCTGTAAATTTACTTGATACGTTTATTTTATGTTTACGCTTTTTAAGACTAAAAGATTTTTTAACTTTTTGAAAACTGAAAGGTATTAGAAATGTCAAATCGCAATGCATGACCTGAAACACAAAATATACATGAAAAACGTAAATTTAAATATATATTATGACGTCATCATTAGTATAATAATAATAAAAAAAAGTAATCTCACAACTTGAAATATCCATCTTTCGACGTAATTAAATGTTTCCGTTATGTATTTTCCATAATTAGTTAATGGCAATGGAAAAAACGGATATGAAACTTCCAAATTATCTTCCGATTCTTTTAAATTAGATGACGTGTAATCACCGGAAGTGTTTGGTTTAACCGAATGTATTTCATTTTGACTTGCAGCTGTGTATAAGAAAACAAAAAGAAAATTTTTTTTTTTTTTCCCCTCCACTCTCCCACTTTAATTTTTTTTTTTTTTTTTTTAAAAATCGAAATGATTCCTTCCGAAAGAAGGGAGGGGGGGGGGAAAAATGATACCAAAAAAATTTTAAAAAACCTGCTTTTAAATGACGTCAAACCGCTTAAACTGCTCATTTTTTGTTTTTTTATCTGTGTATTGAGTATCGTGTTGAAATATTTCAATTGTGTAGGTTTGCTCATTGATTTTGACAGGAGGGTTGATAATTTAAAATTAGGTCCGATGGGGGCCGGTGTTATCATAGGCATCTAAATATATATATATATATATATCATTATTATTATTATTACGAGGTATACACAAGTATATAAATTTCATTTTTTTAATAATTATTAACCGGATAATCCATTCTAGTTAATTCTTCCTTATTGAAATGAAACATTTTTTTCGGATTAGTTTTAGATTTTTGCGATTTTTTATTCAATACGTAATTCGAATCGTTATTTTCCGGATCTATTTTTATTATTTTATATTTAGATTTTTGCGTGACTAAAAATGCGTGATTCGTTAATGCCGAATTATCCGATACACCCGTCACTAATACCGTGCAATAATTAAATGATGAGTCGAAAAAAACTAGGTAGTTCCTAGAGAGAGAGAGAGAATGAAGAAATTAATAAATAATAACATTGATGATGATTTTAAAAAAAAATGACGAGGGTTATCGTACCTTAAACTAACCGGAAAACCACTTGTAAACGTTATGAGGATTTCAAATTCTTGCATTTCCGGTTTCGGAACGATTCTCGGATCTTTTTGCCACGTGTATGAAAGACAATGATAAATGGCTTCATGACTATCCGGAGGAGTCCACAACGTGCAATTAATCACATCGTTAAATATGTAATTTTCCGCATAAACGCTCATCAATATTTCGCAACCGATTTCCAATGGCAATGGTGGAAAATGTATCTGATTTATTAATGAAAAAACAATAAATTTATCATTTCATACTTTAATTCATTTTAAAATAAATAAATAAATAAATAATAATAATAATGACTTCTCTGAATTCGGCAAAAAGTCTCGGTTGTTTAAGTTCTCCTTTCATTTTAATATAATTATAAACGTAACCGTTATTGTAATTTTTAACGTAAACAGGTACGGATATATCGTAAATGCCAGGTTTGAAGGGTGAAAATTTTGCAATCAAAGTTAAATTTTCACCTTGTTTAAGTTCTGCTTTTATCGATTTCGATCTACGATCAATTAAACTATCGTCTGTCGGTATCAAATCGAAAGGGCTGTTATTTCCTTCCCCCAAATCATCGTTTCTTATGCAAAAAACAACATTGTCCGTAAATTCGTTTGAAAAAATTATTTTTTGAGTCTTCTCACCGGAAATGAAAAGAAATTTTTTTTTTTATTAAATTTTCGTGTAATTCTAAAAAGTTTTAACTCCTAATAAATATACCTGAGTGTATGAATTAATCATCGGTTCGAAATCAATGTTTAAATTCGATATGGATAAAAGACTCGGTGATACGTCACTGTGTATGCAAACAATTGGAATTTTTATTTTTGAATTTGCCGAATGAAAAACGGTACCTGAATTTTCGTAAACTCTATAGACGAAGAAAAAAAAAATTTTGTTATCACGAGTCTTCGTATATTATATAAAGATGATGATAATAATAAATTAAAATATTTGTTTACTTTTCGTTGGTGGCTATGTAATAATCAAGATGTTCGCTTTCGGGTTGTTGTAAATTTGGGGGACCCAATATATTGTTTATTATTATTGGTAGATAAAAAACAAAACGTGCCACGTCGGTCGGATTAAATTGTATTTTCATTTTAGCATGTTTCGATGGGGGAAGAAATATTTTTGATTTATCTTTGAGTATGCTATATTCTGGACAACCGTCAAAATTAACTTCTATTTTTGCAGGTGTCGTACCTACATTTTCCAAGCATAATGTTGCTATGTCAAATGATTGCGAACATATTTTACGCATTATAACTTGTCCCGGTTTTATTCTTATCTTTAAAATGTAAAAAAATTTATTAAATTTAAAGATTTTATTTAGAGGAGGGGAGAGGAGGAGGGTAGGGGGAAAATAAAAATGAATACGATACGTTGGGCATGACGGTGTTACCAACAACTTTCATTGATATTTTTTGATACTGATGAAGAAAAAGCGATACTTCGATATTAAAATTCATAATAACTGGAATTTTAACGGAAACTTCCAGCGGGAAAAAACTTCTAGCTTTTATTACTCCACTTTTTGGACTTATAACGACTCCAGGCATCGGATCCCAATTTAATACTTCAAATGAAACATCTTTGAAACTACCTGTTTAAAAATTATTATTATTATCATTATTTAAACGGGATAAAATAATTTAAAAAATAAAAATAAAAAAAATTTTACCGTTTTGTATAATAGGTACGGCTTTAGTTAATAAATTTAAAGGTACGTCGCGCATGTCGATGTAATTTTTTAAAAAACCAACCGGTAAATTTTGTACCGGATACATAAATTTAACAGTTTCAGAATTTCCACTTTCCGAAACTAAATTTATTTCGGAATAAAATGATTTTCCAGGACCGACGTTCAATTTAACTTCCGTTACTATTTGACTCTTTGGCGGTACTTCTCCTGTAATCAAAAACGATGATGATGATGATGAACGCGGAGAGAGAGAGAGAGATAGACGATTACGAAGGATTACAAAAGGGAAATTAATAATGATAATGGTAACCTTCTGGAAGGACCAAAGCAAAAGCAGAATCCGATGGAATACGCCAAAAATATTTAATAACTGCTTGTAACGGATTTCCAAGTTTAACATGCATAACATTTGATTGAAAAGCTCCTTGGGGAGGATAATCTTCAAATTTAACGACTAAATTTTTACTTTCGAGTATTAAAGTTTTCGATGTCACGTATGCGGACATGGTTATCTTAAATTGATGACTTCCGTTAATGACGTAATCTAAAAACCTGGAAAAAAAAATTGATCGTTGTTGTTGTTGGGGAGAGGGGGGTGGGGGAAAAAAGAAAATTTTTTTTTTTAAACTGGATAAATTACCCGTAGTGACGTCCTAAATCTTTTGTTATGAATGATACGGTAAAAGATTTCGAATTTAACGATGCCACGTGTACGTTTTCACCATCTATGACTTTAACGGCTGATTTTCCAGGTACGAATTGTATTCCTATCGGGAAAGGATTTAAATTTTCAACGACTAATGTTTCCAATACCGGAGTATTAACGGCTATCTGAAATTTTCCAAACAAAGAGTCATACAAAAAAAAAATTTTAATTTAAATAAATTGAATTTATTAAAAAATAAAAAAAATTATTAACCGTTCCGTAATTAATAAGTTTAGGTTCGACGTTTATGTTATTGAGATCGTGGGGGGACAAGGGTACCATACTATATTGAGGATGATCATCTGATTTTTTTTTTATGCTTATTAATTTAATTTTTGATGGGATTTTCAATTTCCATTGACAATCTTCGATGCAAAAATATTTTTCTTTAAATATATTCTCTTTAAAATCTTTCATTTTCGGATAATTTTTAAGTAGATAATCTTTTAATATTTCCAAATTATTATTCCATATTAAATAATGTTTATTTGTTTTATCATCCGGTATCAAACAATTTTTCTTTTCCATTTTTAATAAGCTATTTTGTGGGGGGGAGAGAGAAAGAGAAATTATTATTATTATTAACGTGTAAACATATATAACGGTTATTATAATTACTCTTCGGCATTTTTCAACGTTGATATTTGATTCATTTTATTTTCTTTATTTTTATTTTGTTCTAATAAAATAATATTATTTATTTTCTGTTTATTATCGCAAAAAGGTTTTTTCTTCCTTTGAAATTTATCTAAATTCCTTAAACAAGGTTCGATAAATTGTTGTTTTTGTTCTAAATTATTTTTTATTAATGAATTTTCTTTCGTGCAAAGACTTTGAGCTGGAAAAGAAATTTTTTTTTTTTTTACGAAGTTGGCAGCGATGATTTTTTTTTTTTTTTAAATTTATCTATGTATTCATACTCACTCATTTTATTTTTTAATGATAATGGTAAATTATTAGCAACGTATTTAACGGGTAAACGAACTGTTAATATCGACAATAATTGTTTATCATCGCTGTAAACTACGTCGGATTTAGCAAATAATTCAATGTGTAAAAAATTTTCAAATTTTCCTTTTTAACAAAGAAAAAAAAAAAAAGAAAAACAATTAATTTAAGTTATGGGGGAAGAGGGGGAGAGGAGAGGCGCACACTCGCACACACACACGCACCTGCACAAGTGGGAGTGACAGATATTAAAAATTCATGAGATTGTTCAGGTTTGAGCCAACCTTCCTCGATTGGAGAAAAAGTCACGTTCATCACTTTGTGAATTTTAAATTTAATCGGTAATATGTTTTCATTTGTTATTTTTAAAACTCTATTTCCGGTTTGACCGATGTACAAAGGTTCGAATTCGAAAGAGGAAGGTTGCAAACCTAATCTCGGTTCGACACCTGAACCGTGCAAACAAAGCCTAACTATTTTATCTTCGTTATCATTTAAAGAATTGATAAAAAATCCTTCGTTTCTTATATCGGATTCGATTCCCAAAAGATCTGATACGTATTGTGACGTCACAAGGTGTTTAGAAGGTTCCGAGGAAACGTTTTGAGATGAAAATATCGATAGTGCTAAGAGTGAATCTTTTCCAGCTTGCGAATGATACTGCGATTGATGTCTGGTTTCTTTTTTATCTAGGAAAAAATTCATTAAATAATTAAATAAATAAATAAAAGTTATTAATTAACTACCTACCCAGTTCCGTTATTTCGATACAATGAACTCTTATCATTCTTGCAAAAAGTATGTGTTCCATTCTTGAATCTTTTTTCCTTTTATTCTCTGTCGTGTGCCAACCTTTTTTCGGACTGGTTTTTTTAGGTTGAAACCTAAATATATAATATCAATTTCTGATATTAATTTTTATCACTATCTCCCTACGATCCGTTGATTCTTTTTTGATATTAAATCGAAGTGGGGGAGGGGGAAGGGGGTGAAAAACTCACAAAACCGTTACAATTCTCGTTTCGAAAGGTTCTAAACGTCCTTCTTCGGCGGTCAAATCAAACATTTTACAAACTTCGTTAATTTTTCTTGCTTTTTTTATAAACTAAAATTAAATAGTTATTATTATAATAATTTTATTGATTATGTTTATTTGTGATGGGCGGGTAGGTACCAACCAATAGGCTTCCACTTATTTCCGCAAGCGTTATAAACAACGTCGTATCCGCGCTGTAATTTTTCAATAGAAAACATTGAGCCCTTTGAGTGTTTATAAAAGTTGGTGGAAAATCAATAAGAGCAAGATCATCGGTTGCATTTGGATGAAGAATTTCAAGACGTGGTTTAACAACGTCTACCATTATCGGTACTCTCGTCGACATTTCATTGGTCGTCACCCTTAAAGGATAAAAAAAAAAAAAAACTTTAAAAAGATAATAATGATGATGATTTATACTTTGATAAAACATTCGGATACCGACCATAATTCCTTGTAGTATTCACCTTCAATCATTCCCATTAATTCTACGAAAATAGTAACGGAACTTTTGGCTTTGATGGTTCCACGATGAGGCGTTACAACCAATTCCAAATCATTTTTTCCTAAATCGATTTCAAATTTTGTCCTTTTGCCCCCCGAATTATATATTGTAAATGATAAAGTTTTTGCCGATGCTCCGATATTTATTTTTTTAAAATTTAATTGCGATGGTCCGACAACAATTTCGGGTGCGGCTCTTTTACTATTATTTTTAAAAAAAATAGTAGAAATTTTTCGTTAATAATAATAATAATAATAATAATAAGGGATTTTTATATGAATGACTCACACTACTATCGGATAATCAATGAGTTTTCCATTTATCTGTATCGGAATTTGTGATCTTCTCACCAAATCATCATTGTGATAAGAATAAGTTAATGTTTTTGTCAACGAAGAACCGCTGGCTAATATTTTAGGACGTCCAGAATATTTTTTTATTTGAAATATCTTCATTACAAACAAAAAAACGTATATATAATGATGATTATGATGATGACGATGATGATGATGATGATGATGAAACAACTCACAAATGAATTGGGTTCACCTATTTTAATCAGTATCGGTTTTTTACCAATATTTTGTATTTTAATTTTTTCGGCAAATTGTTTTCCTTCGAACGCATCAATAAATTCGATGACTTTCGGCGTGAATCGAACGCCTTCGAATATAAAACTGGTTTCATTTAATGATGGTTTAAGTAAAACATTATCTTCAAAATCTACATCGTCGTCTGAAGCGAGTTTCGATGATGAATCTTCTTTTGAAAATCCTCCTCCACCGTTCATTTTCGGATCACTCGCTACTCCTTTGCCCCTTTCAACAGATGAACCAAACATTACTTTTTTTTTTTTTTTATATTAAATATTATACATTAATAACATTTATTTATTTATTATTACTATGTAAACAACAAAGTATTTCGCTATGAATCTACTGCTTCTTCAAAATAATCATAATAATAATAAACACAAATATATGTTTTTAATTTTTTATTTTTTTTTTCCTTATTAATTTTTAGAATAAGAAAACAACAAGTGAGTGTTTACGTATTTGCTTGAACAAAAAAAAAAAAAAAAAAAAAGAATAAAGAAAGGAAGAAAGGAAGGAAGGAAGGAATTTCGAAAGATTTTTTAAAAAAAAAAAACCTCCAAAAGTTAATCTGAAGAGAGAGAGAGAAAAAAGGGGAAGAGGGGGGAGGAAAAGAATAAGAGAAAGAAAAAGGCGTTTTTAATCAGTTGAATTTATGTTGGGAACATGTTGAGATATAAACGCCCCCCTTGAAAAAAAAGTTTTTTTTTTTTTTTTTTTTTTTTGTTTCGTCAAATTCAAAAAAGCTCATTTCTTCTCTTCCTTTATTTTCCTTTTTTCCTTTTTTTCCTTTTTTTTCTGCTTCATTCGAGTTTTATATTCGTAATTTTTCTTATTTCACGGTGAAAGAAAAAAAGAAATACATAAAAATTTATGCATAAAACTATTTAAAGAATAAAAAATTATTATTATTATTATTATTAAAGTGTAAATTTATTGATTAATAAAAACGAAAAATAAAAACGATTATCGATTTATTTAAATAAAATAAATAATAATTAAATATGGCGAATGAATAAATAAATTAAAATTATTTTTAAAAAAAATTTTTTTTTAGGCATTACGGGAATAGACATTGTGGAAAAGCGACGATGATTTTTTGACTTGTATGTGTTTATATATATACACATAAAACCCCATTCCAATGGTTTTTCTCCAGTTGAATGCTTTTTTTTTTTTTGAATCCCTCCCGGTTTTCCTTTTTTTCCTTTTTAGTGATGGGGAATGATTAATGAGACCGAAGTAAACATGGTTTCTCATACTACAATTTTCTTTTTAGAGGACCCCTTTGGTGAAAGCGTAGCGCACGAATACACCCCCTAAAACCTTTAAGAAGACATCTGTTTCATTTTTTTTTCCGCATCCTTTTATTATTATTATTATTATTATTATTATTATTATTATTATTATTATTATTACTTCATTTTCATTCGTGATTAACCGATGAATATATTTATAAAAAAAAAAAAAATTTTTTTTTTTTTGTTTGCCTTTTTTTTATATCGAAACCATTTATTTAGTTAACAACAACAGCAACAACAGCAATTTGTGTCGTTAAAAAAAATTAAAAGAAAAAAATCTTTTTCCTCTCTTCCTGTTGTTGTTTTTAACCTTTTAAAAGTTTTCCACTCTTTCTCTCTCTCTCTCTCTCTCTCTCTTTCTTTTGCATAATTAAATATAAAAATTTATGGTTATGTCATGTTTTCGACCTCATTTTCATTTCACCTTTTTAAGTCGGCTGTGATTTAACCGACGATGAAGACGAAGACAACGAGGGTTTTTCTGTTGTTTTTATGGTTTTTAAAAAAAAAAAAACTTTTTTATCTCCTATGGAAAACTTTTTTTGTATAATTGAAAATTCGAGTAGGCCCCCCCCTCGCACACGAAAATTTTTTCAACATTAATTATAACGTTTCGATGAAACTTATCATCCGTAAAATAATTTTTTTTTTTTCTTTTTTTCTGTTGTTGTTGTTGTTCACAAGTGGTAATACATTGTTCTCGTTTTGTATTCATAAATTTCAATTCTTTCTCTCTCTCTCTCTCTTTTCAATGGATTCCCGCTGCGTTATTATGATATAAAAATATTAGCAACAGCAAACATCAACAGCAGGTCGTTTTTTTTCTCTCTCTCTCTCTCTTTTTCTTTTCTTTTCTTTCTTTTATTTGTTTTTACAATCATTTTCCTTTTTTTTTTTTTTTCTTTCAATTTTGTCATCATCGTCATCGTCATCATCACGACTTTTATTTTATTACGATTCGCCATATTTAAAAAATTAAAAAAAAAAAAAAATTTTTTTAATTTAAATAAATGGATTGTTAAATAAATAAATTAATTTTTTTAAAAATGAAAAACCGGATGTAAAGAGTAAAAAAATATCCTAAGGTTATAAGGGGAAAAAAAAATAAAATGGCGGATCACATTTTTTTTTTTTTTTTTTTTTTTACGTTAAAAAAAAAAAAGAAAAATTTATTTCTTCTGCTAAATAAATATTCTTTATGTTAGTTATAAGATTAAAATATGAATAAATTATGCTGATTATGCTTTTGGGTTGATTTAATACTTACTCATCGTTAGTTTAATCCAACCTTTTTTTTTTTTTTTTTGCTTCCCATTTGTTTAGTTAATAATTGATGGGTGCGTGCGCGTGTTACAAAAAAAAAGGTACAACCTTTACCTTCTTCTCCCTTTTTTTAAAGAAAGAAACGGTAACGGAGTTATAATAAAAAAAAATTTTCTAAAAGTTTAAAAAAAAACCTCTCGCGAATAAAAATGATAATAAAATTAAAATTGGCAATATGAAAGATCCGATACCACGAATTCAGACATTGAACCTTCCACCCCCTCCCCCCCGATACTATACAATAAAAAAAAAAGAAGTAATAATTTATAATTATAAAACATTGGGGCCAGTCCCCTGGAGAAAGAAAAATAGATTTTTACCAAACAATGTGATATGTTTACCATTTTTCTGCCTACGGATTTCAATTGCCTTTTATATCAATTAAAAAAATAATGTGAAACGCCACCATCTTCCCTCTCCATCCTCCATCTTTTTTTTTTTTTTTTAATTTAATCATTTATCGAAGAGAGAGAGAGAGAGAGAGAGAGAGAGAGAGAGAGAGAGAGAGAAATGCTTTGAGTTTTTCATATTAAAAATTAATTTTTTTTTTTTTTTGAATCGAACCCAAAAAAATAATTTTTGTTCCTTCGGGGCATCGATTTTTTTTCCACATCAAAGAATGTTTGGATATAATCGAACCGCCGGAAAAACCAATACGCGATTTTCCTTTTTTTTTTTTTTTCACCGTACGAATCGTTGATTAATTTTCTACTAATTTTTTTTTCCTTTTCCTTTTCCTTTTATTATTATTAAAAACTTTTGCTTTTTTTTTTTAAAAATGTAAATATTTAAAAAAAAAAAAAAGATGAAGGAAAAGGGAAAAAATGAAAACACATGAATGAAAATCAAATGTAGTTATTGTTTCCGGTTGACTACATAAGTGGGTGCCAAGTATCCTCCGTTGGGGGTTAAAAAGGGTTTGTTGGCAGCAAAAAAAAGAGAGAGAGAGAGTAAAAGTACAATATGTTTCACTTTAGAGAGGAGTCAGGAAGTAAATGACACCTTTGGGACTACTACTACTACTACTACTACCACCACTACTACTACCACTACTGAATTCTAAAACCCATCGTGATATATAATAAAACTCTCCGACCCGTTTTTCTCTTCTATTCTTTTCTTTTCTTCCATCTTTAAACTATATTTTAAAAGAAAAAAACAATCCGACATTATGAATTTTATTAATTATAAATAAATATACATACGATTTGAATAAACTTTAAAACTTTATTCAAATTTAATAATTTAAACCATAAATTTATTATTATTATTATTATCATCACGTGATTAATGTAATTAAATAATAGAAATTTAATAAATAACATCGGTCGGTCGGTCGATTTTCTGTTAGCATAAATAAAATTTTGTTTGATTTTACATTGGAAAAATTTACAAGAAAGAAAGAGAATAATAATAATAATAATTTGTATATAGGAAAAACGTTTTTGGAATTTTCATTCGGGAAAAGATAAGCCGATGATGTTGTCATCGCAACATGGCACAAAAGGCTATATATATATATATATGTACATAGGTTGCCATGGAAATGTGTCGGGATATAACGCCGCAGAATTTTTAACCATTCTTATATAAAAACTTTTCTTCATCTTCTTCCTCTTCTTCATCTTCTTCTTTATCTTCCTCTTCTTCTCTTTTTCATTTTTTTTTTTTTTTTTTTTTAAA